ATCCTTGTGTTCTCTGTTTTGATTGGTTACTATTTCTGTTATTCTGTCTATTACAGGATCTGCGTATCCATATTGCTCTATTTATGTATAATCATGTTGCTGCAGTAATATCATTGTTGATTCTGTAAACACTGTTTCATTTTTTAATTGTCTTGGCAACAAAAGTTGTTTGGATTTAAAAAAAATAATAACTTCCAAAAACTCACCTATGGAAACTGTTGGCCCCTTCCAAATGATGAATACATAAAAAATCTATTTCTGCCAAAGGTCTGAACTAACACACTCCTTCTCACATTTTGCCATGCATATATGGGACACATTGGTAATATTATAAAAAACTTGAGAACTGATGAATTGGTGAAGAAGGATACAAGAGATAGTCACTTATGGGATAGCTTAAGCCCTGGTTCACACTAGAGCAATTTTTCAGTGACTTACAACATTCAGACAACATGTAAAATTGAAGGTCAAGTAAAAATGCACATTTTAATTGGTGCTGTCTTAATTGACGCATCTTGAGTTGCTGCAACAAAAAAAAACTTCTTTGTACTACTTTTGGGCGATTTTTGTGAGGCACGACTCCTATAGACTTCGATGTAAAATCTCCAGCAAGTCATACATTTGTCTGAATTGCAGCAACTTTGCTGAGACTTCTGAGGCAGTGGTTTGTTTCTTGTTTTTTATACTCACCTCTTCTCCCTAGCACATTCCATTTACATCTGAGCATAGCAGAAGCCCAAGTTCCCACTTTTTTATTTTGCGTGTTTTTCATGTGTAAACCTGCAGTGCATATAAGGCAGCCCACACACTTGAATGAGCTGCCCTACGAGCAACACACTTCCCAAAGTAGAACTTTTTAGTCGTGGAGCATCAGGAATTTTGGTAGCAAAACACACTTCTGCTAATTCACATCTGTGCATTGAAGTAGTATTCAAATCTGCACATTTCAGAATGTGCAACAACCCACACAGAAAACTCAAGTCTTTCCGTGTATTTCAAAAATGCACAGCAATGCACGTCATTCCTGCACTACCATTTTTTCCCATCTGTGCATTTCTGAATGCATGACAACCCACAATAAAAAGCACACTTTGCTATGCGTTTTGAAAATGTACGACAATGTGCGTCAGCCTTGCCTTACCATGTAGACTGCATTCTCATCTGCATATTTCCGAATGTGCAACAACCTTCACCGAAAATGCGTGACAATGTGCATCATGCTTGCATTAGCATTTGTTCGCTTCTGCGTGTTTCAAATGCACAGCATCCAACAAGAAAACCCATGCTTTGCCGCATGTTTTGAAAAACGCACGGCAATGTGTGTAGCAATTGTGTTGCCATTCGTTCACATCCGCGCATTTCCAAATGTACAGAAACCCACAAGAAAACACATGCTTTACCATACATTTTGAAAATGCGTGGCAATGTGTGCCAAACTTGTGTTACCATTTAGGCTTCCAAATGCGTGGAAACCTACACAGAAAGCATCCGCTTTGCCGCATGTTTCGGATATGCATATTGCACTTGCCTTGCCATTATATCGGATCAAATGTGATGTGTGTTTGCAGAGCATTTCCAAAATGTGCAGCAAAGCATGCATTTTCTCTGCAGGTTGCCACACATTCGAAAACATGTAGATGTCAATGTAGCCTAATTGTTAATGACACCCCAATCACAGTTAATTTTGAGGCATTTGTCATGTGTAGGGCAGCTCATTCAAGTGTTATACTTGAGAAACATGCAAACATGCTCAGGTGTAAATGGAATTTTGATAGTTTGATGGTCATTTTTTATTTGTTATAATCATGTCTAATAATTTGTAATCATGTCTAATAATTTGGAACTGTGTTTTTATTCCAGTATGGAACACACTAAATAATAAATAAACCCATAATATGGCACTTCAATTCTATTTATTTAGTTGTATAACAAAGCAAGGGAATTGTGGAGGTCCTTTGGTGTGTAGAACTTGCCAGTTCAAAGCTAAGACACCCTGCCCACAAACCACTACAACATCAATGGGGATGAGCATCAATCAAGTAATTCTAGGGTTCTAGAGCTACTGATCCAATCCTCTAGGTGTCAGTAAAAACCTGACAAGAATGTTAAACCCACTCCACCAAATCCAAAAATAAAAAAAAAAATCAGGCATGCCATATGCAGTTATTCTTTTGTAGTTACAGCAAAAGGTAAACAGAAAGGGTTTTCATCATTTCATTTTTTCATTTATGTTTGAACTTTTTCAATGCTGTAAGAGATACATATGAAAGCATTGTTGCTGTACACGAAAATAATCTATATAATCTAGATACTACAACCAGAAAAAGTTTTGCTTTTGATTTATAATATCAATTTACCATTACCAACTACAATATTGCATGCACCAGAAGCATTGTTTTTATTAGAAAGAGAGAATTGCTCTGTTCAAATGTTGACTTTTTATTAAAGCCGAGCTTGATCAAAATTCATTTTCCTTACTAGATGGTGAGGATCTTACTCCGGGGCAAGAAAAAAAAGTTAAATCCTTTTGGTTATTTCATTTTTAAAATAGACATGAACAAAGGTAAGTGAATAAGTAGACAGTTTTTAAGAAGTTGCCTGAACCCACCTGTGTTGGACTGCTTTTAGCTGTCTTGCCAAGTACAGTGAAAGCATTTAAAAATCAGCTAAACAACTATGCACCCCTGTACATTTAAGTGTCACTGTTTGATGTAGACAGAGTTTATGTGATCTCTTCACCATCTATATTTACCATAAATGTCACTGTAATGTTATTGACATGCATATCGTACCCTTTTAATTATAGGTGCCTTGTAATAACCTTTTAATGCTTGCTCCTCTACTTTCTCCACATATGGCAACAGCATTAAAATATCTACAGTATGGTGCATATCTATATGCAGCTTATACCCAGTCAGCAACATACAAGAATCTTGTGTTTTTAATCAATTTCAATATTAATACATTAAATACATTTTTAACATTTTTAAAATGATCACAGCTTCAGTTTAATTACAAAGTGAGTGTTGCCTGATCTTTTAGTAAATCCACCTTAATAAGTCCTGTGTGATTTTGTTCTTGGAAAGGAAAACAAAAAAACTGCAAGAGGCACAGATGGGGGGGAAACCTGTTTTCATCAGGATACCACACAAGAGAACTGATTAAATAAACTGTAGAAAAGAAGAGAAAAAACTAAAATGTGACTCAAGTGTGTTTAACAGTCTACCAAGACTGGTTATGATTTCACACCTATGTTTTGATACACTTTGATCTATCAAGAGTAACACGTTTTTTTTTTTTAAGCCAATGATATCTACACAACAGTGTCATTTAATATATCTTTGCTTTAGGCCCCTTGCACACAGGCATAATAATTTACCGATGTGTAGGAATTGTTTGACAGTAAGTTTCTGAGTAAAAAAACTGTATGTAAAGACCTTGAGTAATGTTGTGCATAAAGGTGCGTCAGCGTATAAATGAATAAAATTCTTCATTGCTAGTGCTGTAATACTGTATACTGATTCATATTCAAGTAAACATGCGTATGCAAGTAAAATACTGCATGCAAATTTTAAATGTTCTATTTTTGTTTTACTACTCTGTACTCATCACTGTATTACTGATCTTTACTCAGTTGTGTGCATTGTTCCATAGATAACAATGCATCTAATTTCAGATCAGTAAAAAACTCAGTATTATTATTATTATTATACAGGATTTGTATAGCGCCAACAGTTTGCTCAGCGCTTTACAATATAACGGGAGACAATACAGAACAATACAGTTCAATACAAGAGGGTTAGGAGGGCCCAGCTCCTTGGAGCTTACAAAAGGCCTTAGGTAGTGACATCTTTAGGCCCCTTGCACATGGGCGTCATAATTTACTGATGTTTGCTCAGGAACTTGTTGACAGAAAGTTCTGACTGTGTATAAAGATCTGAGTAATGTTGAGCATAGGCGAGGAAAGGTGTGTAAGCGTATAGATGAGTAAAATTCTTTTCCATTGCCAGTATTGTTTTACAACTTTGTATTCAACGCTGTATTACTGATCTTTACTCAACTGTGTGCAATGTCCCATAAACAACAATGCATCTCATTTCGGATCAGTAAACATCTCAGCATTTTTTACCTGTGTGCAAGAGGCCTTAAAGTACACATTGCCAAAAGTATTGGGACACCTGCATGTACAATCACATGCACTTTAATGGCATCCCGGTTTTAGTCCGTACGTTCGATATTGAGTTGGCCCACCATTTGCAGCTATAACAGCTTCAACTCTTCTGGGAAGCCTGTCCACAAGGTTTAGGGGTGTGTCTATGGAATGTTTGACCATTCTTCCAGAAGCGCATTTGTGAGGTAAGGCACTGATGTCGAACGAGAAGCCCTAGCTCACAGTCTCCTCTCTAATTCATCCCAAAAGTGTTCTATCAGGTTGAGGTCAGGTCTCTGTGCAGGCCAGTCAAGTTCCTTCACCACACACTCGCTCATCCATGTCTTTATGGACCCTTCTTTGTGCACTGGTGTGCAATCATGTTGGAACAGGAAGGGGTCATCCCCAAACTGTTCCCACAAAGTTGGAAGCATGAAATTGTCCAAAATGACTTGGTATGCTGATGCCTTAAGAGTTCCCTTCACAGGAACTAAGGGGCCACGCCCAACCCCTAAAAAACAACCCCACACCATAATCCCCCCTCCACCAGTCTTTACACTTGGCACAATGCAGTCAGACAAGTACTGTTCTCCTGGCAACCCCCAAACCCAGACATGTCCATCAGATTGCTAGACAGAGAAGCATGATTCATCACTCCAGAGAACATGTCTCCACTGCTCTAGAGTCCAGTGGCAGCGTGCTTTACACCAGTGCATCCGACACTTTGCTTTGCACTTGGTGATGTAAGGCTTGGATGCAGCTGCTTGGCCATGAAAACCCATTCCATGAAGCTCTCTATCCACTGTTATTGTGCTGATCTGAAGGCTACATGGAGTTTGGAGGTCTTTAGCTATTGACGCTGCAGTCAGTTGGCAACGTATGCGCACTGTGTGCTTCAGCTTGTGCTGACCCCGCTCTGTCATGTTACATGGCCTACCACTTCATGGCTGAGTTGCTCTTGTTCCCAGTTGCTTCCACTTTGTTATAATACTATTAACAGTTGACCTTGGAATATTTAGTAGCAAGGAAATTTCACAGATGGACTTGAATTCACTTGAGCTCCTGATAGCAACCCATTCTTTCACAAATGTTTGTAGAAGCAGTCTGCATGCCTAGGTGCTTGATGTTATACACCTGTGGCCATGTAGGTGATTTTCAGTGTGTTTGGCATCATGCTTCACTGTATACAATTTTTGTAAGAAAATATTTTTTGTCAATCTCTTGCAAAATTGTTTACCTGAAGATAATTCCAGTAACGGCACTTCCTGAACCAAGCTGACCATGCTAAGCTACTCTCTGGCAGAATACACAGTAGTTATAAGTGTATCTGACTAGGCTTTGTTCTGGAACAGTTTTGCTAATCTTGCACAAAATGGGGAGAGGAGTGCAAAATTTGTTTTTTTCAGTTCTAGTCATATGTAGAGCTAATAAGCAAAAAAAGACATAGGAAGCCATATGGCTCATGTACCAATGGGAAAACTAAAATTAATTTTAAAAAATGAAGTTAAATTTTAAAAAATATCTCTATACATGGAATTGTCAGATCTTCCTAAAAGTTCAAACACACACTGACAATGTGGCTGCCATGAGCCCTCTCTCATATAGAAAGGAGGCAGGGTCTTCATTCCATCCATTGGCTCTTGTGAGTCAGTAGACCAGGAAAAAGACAAAGTACTACATTTTAGGCTGTTTCTTCTAACCTCTAGTGGTGAACCTGCAAGTTTCATGGCCAAAATTTCTTGATTCTAAAACTTCAAAAATCCCAAGGATTCACTGTGAACCAATGTTAGTGAAACTAGACCTCATCCCTTATCTCCAGGTAAGGAACTTTGCAAAAGCTTCACTAAAACAATCTACTTAATAAAACTGTATACAGTAACATGTTGCCAATCATATTAAAAAAAGTAGATTTAAAGTTTTCATTCACTTTGAGTATAGATGAGTGAACAGATTAAGGCAAATCATGATTTAGTATATACTTATTTGACATACACACCTGGAAAGTGCAGGATATTTAAAGTTAATCAATTAACTCCTGTAGGTTGTATTTTGAACTGTTGAGTAGCTAGAACACAACCACTGGGTTTCCACCCAGAATATCCAGATGCATGCAAATATAAATCACATTAGGGCAATTTTTAGGAGATCTAATTACAGATTTGCTTAACTTATCTTGTACAAATTTTGATTTGCATTCTTCAACCAAGGCAAAAAACATTCTATAAAATGGCTCATTGCCATATGATTTTCTTTTTTACAAACCCACTGGTGTAGATACTTCAGAATGCGCTATTCAAAATTTGGTACATTTAGCTTATATTTTTACAGAATCAGATTTAGGACCATTCAGGAAATTAGGGGTCCAACAACCCCAGTGATTATCCAAAAGCCAGGCAGATAGCTGCCAAGATGAAAGCTACAGAGTAGATTAGAGCCACTCAGCATGAAGACCAAGTTCCTTAAGGAGGTTCAAATGAAAAAGTTTCATATTTGACTGAAGTGTGCCTTTAAGTTTAAAAGTATGTGTTTGAAGGAAAGGCTAACCTTTTGTTCCTTTTTTTTAATCTCATACCCTGAGAGATTGCTATCTGCTGCCACTTGCATAGAAATTTCAGCCCACTTGCACTTTCAATAAGAATTGTTAACAGCAGAGACTAACAGGTTCTGAAAGAGGAAATGGATATTCAGGAATTTACTTTGATAAAGGAATCAGGTTGTACATCATTTGAGAACTTTGAACGTTCTACATTGAGATTGCTATACTTACCATGGCATCTTAATAACTGAAGCTAGTATATAGGTCTATTAAGTAACTGAAGAACTAAGAACAAGATACAGTATTAGAAAAAATCAAATGAAGCAGATCTAAACCCTAACTGAGTGACATGTATTTTGATAAAGCACTGTGTATTATGAACAGCTTACATATATTTTATAACATATCAATTTCACCTGCTTTAGCACAGAAAAGCTCAAAACATAAGGCATTCAAGTCTTATCCCATCAGATATCCCAAAAATAAAAGGTTTACTCCTTATTTCAGAACAGGGAGAGGACCCTGCAAACCATTCCTGTATGCTCCAACAGCCAAATGTACATCCAGAACCACTGGTATTTAGTGCAAATACAGCCTTACATTACAGAGACATTTATTCCAAATTACTAACAGCTGTTTCAGGCTTTTTTGACCATCATCAATGCAGTGTATAGAAACCATGGCCTCTATGGAGTAGTGCCTGTAATCCAAAGAGATCTGTACAGTATGTTTTAACCTTATGGATTATGGTAAGAACAGTGTTTATTCATTTATTTTATTAACACGGTAAAGTCTAAATAAGATTTTAGTGACTGTATGTACCTTAACATTTTCCTTCCACTAATATGGCTAAAGTATAGTTATATATTAATTAAATAGAAAAAACAAAAATGTATTATTTTGCAGCTTACCAACTCTGAGATGTGGTAGCTTCATTAGGTTTTTTTTTCACCTTTATTTTTACTTATTGATCCAGACGGTAAGTCTGTTATTTTTTAAATATCTTTAACAGACCAAACTGTCCAGCAAACATGTCAGTCCGAGGGTTATGACACACAGATGTTGGGTCAAACAGTTGGATCTCCCAGTCTGCTGAGATTGTATATGGATATCTTAAAATGCATGTCTGTATGTTTTTAGTTATCTCAGAATTTCCCAAAAGATATCACTGTTGAAATTTTTACTTTGACTCATTATGTTCTGTTAGTTACAATCCTATTGCCTGAAGCTAATCTGGTGTTGTAACTGAACACAGGCTACAATGAAAATGACTCTGTTAGTAAGCCAGCCCAGTTGGTTAGCACTCACAAAGTAAAACACATTAAATTAGAGCAGAACACAGCAAGATGGCATAGAGTGGAAAGAAGGATAGTCAAATCGCACCTAGGGTTCCAGTATGTTTTTAGCAAAGTAAAAATAAATACATTCTTTTTGTTGTCTACTGTCTGCTTAACAATCCAGCTTTACAAAATGTAAAGTTTGCATAAAACAGACTTGTCATACACTGCTGAACTCTTCTACCTTAAATATTGATAGCATATGCTTTTGTACATTAGTAATTGCAAATGTACTTTATAAACAGAATCAAGTATGTGGAAGAACAAATAGTTTTAGTCTAGTACAAAGGAAATGTGAAAGTTGCCTTGTACAATTTTAAAACATTTCCCTAATGTGCAAAGTGTTATTGTGAATGCGTTCTTTTCTTGAAAAAAATGTCTTGCAAAGAAAATTGTTCATTTTAGATTTAGTTTTTTTATAGACTTTCTCTGGAAGTTTCACAATACTCAGCTGAAATTTAATTTGCAGGTTAACAAGCATTGATCATGATGGAGGAGTTACTTAATTGCTTTCATACAGAAAAAGGCTCCATGTACACGACTACCTTGACCGCCGGCCATGTGAAACCACAAATCTCAACAAAATGCGGCAACCACTGTACCATGATTTTGCCGTAGTTTTGCTGCGTTTTGCGTTTTCCCACGGTCAGTGGTCAAAACGTTCCTATCCTGAACGTGATTCTTCCCGTTCAGGAGAGGGAGGTTTAACCTCACCTAAACGTTGCAGCTCCTAAACTCTGTTAAAAGCCTATGTGTACATGGACACCTAGGCTTTTATGGGGTTGGGTTTAGGAGCTTTGGCAAAAAAATGCCAAAAGCTCCTAAACTCCATGTCTAGGAAGCTTCCCTATAAAATGTTTTAATTGAAAGTAACGCCAGTCATCTATTCTCATAAATATCTCTCTCTTATTTTTCAACTCCTCAAGTGAACAAACTTCATCACCCACCATTATGTCTCTTAATTGTGCGCCATCCTTCTTTATCCACCTCCCCATTATACTTTCTTTTCCTGGAGGAAAGAACTCAGTAGACCCTAATGGCATTAACAATTAATTAAATTCCCACCCCATTTGTTTGTGCAATACATCCCAAATTTTTAAAACATTACATGTAAACAAACTTGTGTTATCTGCTATTCCTCGGTATTGCGGGGGTAGCCATACAATTCTACTCAAACTTGTGTAAATCAGTGTATTTCCTATTTTCACCCAACGTTTCCCCAGTGCGTTATGTGTCCAATTGAAAATTCTCACCAACATTACTGAATTATAATATCTTTTCAGGTCTGGCACACCCAATCCACTGTTCTCTATGTCTCTGCTTAAAATTTCATAGCTTATTCTAGGTTTTTTGTTCCTCCAAATAAATCTAGTAAACATCTTTTTAATTATTCTAAAATATACTTCTGGCAATTGGTACCATTTGAAATTTATATATTTTTGGGACAATTACCATTTTTATCATATTTATACGACCTATCCATGACAGAGTTCCCCAGCCTAATTTCCTTAGCTCATCCTTGATCTCGTTTAATAATGCGATATAATTTGATCTATAGAGATCCTTTGAAGATACAGTTAAATTTATTCCCAGATATTTTAATTCTCTTTCTCTCCAAACAAAGGGGAATTATCCCTGTAACATTTTTTTCTCCATCTTAGGAAGATTTATATTTAGGATCTCTGTTTTTGTTGGATTAATTTTTAAGTTTGACACCTCACCATATTCCCTCAATGGTTTCATTAAATTTGGCAAAGTTATCTTTGGATTTACCACATAAAACAGCATATCAACCGCATAAACTGCCACCTTATGCTCTATTTCTCCTATCCAGATTCCTTTTATATCAATATTGTTCCTTTTTGTGGCTAAGAGAGATTCCAGGGACAGAACATATAACAATGGCGACAAAGGGCATCCCTCTATTGTCCCATTTTGCATCCCAAAAACTCTGATAATTCTCCATTAACCTTGATAGCTGCCGAGGGCTGACTATATAATTTCCTTATCCATTCTCTCATTCTAGGTCCCATCCCCAGTACTTCCAATGTATCCAGCATATATCCCCAATCTACTCTGTCAAATGCATTCTTAGCATCAATCGAGAGTACCATTGCAGGAGTTTTTTCTTTTTTTTTTTTTGTATATAAGAAACAAAGATCTTAATCCATTGTCTCTACCCTCCCTCCCTGGGACAAAGCCAACCTGATCTATATGAATCCATTCCAGCATTAGGTCTTTGAACTGATTAGCCAGAACTTTTGCGTATAGTTTAGTGTCCACATTCAGTAAGGAAATCGGTCTATAACTAGAG